GCAGGGACCGCATTTCCACATTTTTGGTCCCCGAGGTATAAAACTAAATAGGTAGTCCATCTAAAAACAATTGAAACTAACGGTCCAAATGCTTTTATAATAGAATTATTATTTTAAATTTCCAAAATTTATTTGTTTATTCATAGTCATTATCTCCATTTTAAAGATTACATGTCTTTAAAAATTAAGTCTAAAAATCTATCTCAAATATAGATTTTAAGAGGTGACTCATTTCTACAGGAACCCATAAAAAGCCTGTCTATTACCTAATGGTATTTAATATAAAATTATGACCATCACCCCATCCCGACGCATGGCCTTTTTATCTAGGCAATTGGCATATACTATCCAGCAATAAAAACACCGGGCAATGAGGAAACTCCATAAAACATTTGTGCTTCCCCACTATCCAATGTAACCATCAATGAACAACCACATTTTTTGGTTAATACATGCGCTGGAAATTCTGGACAGCTTTTTGAAAGTGAAGCATCCGATATTTCCATTACCAAACATCCCAATTACAAAAAAATTGAGAAATTGCATGAAAACCCAGCTCTCAAACACCAGAAAAATGCGGCGAGGAAATGGACATGAGCAAAAGGAAGAGTATAAATCAATTGCAAACATATTTATGCAATACCATCAAGAGCATACCTTACCGATGAGTGAAAAAAAGGGAAAGTTAAAGAACAAAGTAATAAATTATAAACAAAGTGCATAAATCCAGTTTTGATATGAAATGCTACTCATAAAAATTTTGATTTGATGATGCCAGAGAGGGAGATTTAATATATGAAGTTCAATTGCCGAACGTCAATGTTTGTTCCAAAATCGTTGATGTAACTTTCATTGGTATAGTGGATTTGAGTTTGTCATGCCCGTGGATATAGCCCTTTTGAGGTGAACCTCGTAAATCTCTGTGTTTTTGTTTTATATGTTTCATGCTTTATTTCGCGTACTTTATTTGTCAAAAATCAAACCGTCGGGTTTAGAGCTTCCATGCACAACAAGTGGTAACAGAGCACTACAAGTGATATCAGAGCTTGGTTTTGGGTTTTCCGTATAGCAGTAAAGGTTTGGAATGTAAAGTTGAAGCTAAATAAATTTGATGGCAAATACTATTTTTCAACAAGAATGATAGAGGAATTTATTTGAAAAAAGATGAAGAATTTATGAAGATATCCAATGGATATTAGCATGGTAAGTATGTGATTTTGATATCAAGGTGGAGATTGTTGGATTAGGTGCTATCTAAAATTACCCACATTAGAAAATCTCATATTATGTGGGATTGAGATATTCCCATATTATGTGGGATTGAGATTGCTATTGAAATAGAAATCCAAAAAGGATTAGGACTTTTGGATATATCTCTTGATTTTGAGATATATGTGATATATCTCTTGGTTTTGGGATATATGTAAGATTTATAGGACGTTTTGGGATATATGTAAGATTTATAAGAGGTTTCCTATTTAATATGGATTCTTAATCTTACATATTTGAGATGAAAGTGCGAAGAATTCGTGTGCCCTATTTTTGGGTCACCATATGAGAATAATGGTTCATCTAGAGAGAGGGGGACAGAGCCTCCTATGCATAAGATGCAATTTCCTCTTTGAGAAGAAAACTTCCTATGGAGATAAATATTGTGATGGTGCCTCTTTTAGACTCTCGAAGATTAAGATGCTTGTTTCTTGTAAAAAAGTTGTTCCCATTGAAATTTTGGGTAGTTTTACTTTTAGTCAGAGAGAACGCCAGTTTCTCGTTGCTCTTGTGTCTCTATCTGGTGTCGTCAGTAATAATTGCCAGAAGTAAAGAGAATGAAAGGAGAGTAGTTTAAAAGGGTTTGCTTGACTTGAGATTTTGTTGAGGTTTGTTCTAATGATGTAACTTTCATTAATATAGTGGATTTCAGTTTGTCGTGCTCGTGGATGTAGCCTTTTTGGGGTGAACCACGTAAATCTCTGTGATCTTGTTGTATGCATTTCATGTTTTATTTCTCGTACTTTATTTGCCAAAAATTAACCCGTCGAGTTTAGAGCTTCCGCGCTATAAGAGCACTACAGGGGGAGCGACGAAAGCCGCACAAGATCAAATGGGTTGGTCTAAAGGACCAACTTTAGATTAAAAAGATTGTTAGGTGTTTTGGGTTCAGACAAGTGTTCGCAAGATCGAACCAGCCCTGACAACCGCCCATGGGCCGATTCTGGTTAGATAGGGACCCGGCCCAAAAAAACATTTCAAAACATATGGATTTCATGTAAACAATCCAAAGGTCCAAATTTGGACCGTGATATAATAAAAAACGATGAGGAAATTGATCATTAGGCATAATTTTCTAAACTCAAAATTGAGACCTTTACGTCGCAGCCCTAAATAGTAAAAATCGAGCACCAAATATGCTTATTTCAATCAAATTAGGATTGGGTTCATGTGAGGAACTTCCTGGTCTCCAAAAGGCCCAAATTTTGATTGAAAAATAATACAAATGAGCCCAAAGTCGATCGTTTGGCGGAAACTTTTCAACTCAGATCTAGAATACAGAGTTGCTAAAAGAACTAGTGTGATCTAGCCGAAGTATATAATAAATTTTTTATCTCTTTTTCAATGATTTTTCTTTTCTTCACGGTCTAGATCGCTTACAAGTAGTCATTTTAAAATATAATAACTTCAAATAAAATAAAATAAAAGAATACAATATGATCTCAAGAACTTGAAGCCATTCAAAACATTTCTTTTAATAACAAGAAAAGGCACAACCTATGCTTGGAAATAAAAGACACACTAAATAAATGTAGAAGAAACATAAAAGGGTGCCAGAGATTACCTTAACTGGGGTTAGTACACCCCACGCCGAGTCTCCTGCTTCTGATAGTACTCGGGATCTTTGATCAGTCTCTTGATTTCTCCTTCTTATGACAAAACCCAAACAATACATATCAATCTCAATCTAGAACCACCTACTTAATGCCTCAATGCTTAGGCCTAATTAAAGCCACTTGGCTTGATCCTTATGAGAGATATAAATCAATAAAGTATGGAGAAAACTACTAGCTAGGGATGATCGTTTTGCTGCCCACAAAATCACATAACCAAAACCAAGCTTGAGTTAGAACCCATGAGAGAGATTCAAGCTTAACCTGACCTAACTTGAACATAGGCCCCTTAGTATTGTTTGTGAAAAAGGGAGAGAGAGAGAGAGAGAGAGAGAGAGAGAGAGAGAGAGAGAGAGAGAGGAGTAGTAGTAGGTGGACGTAGTCGTACGTAGTGTGTAGGTAGGAGGAAGGAAGTAAGTAAGTAGTAGGTCGGTCGTCGTACGTACGAGACGTAGAG